GCTGTTTCATCATCTAAACTAAATTAAAATAATTGTTTAAAAAAAGCCAGCCCTTATCATTCATATACTTATCAAGCTTTTTCTTAAACTCACATAAATTTACTGCTTCTACAACATCCGAAGGCAACCCATTCCAAAGGCCAACCACCTGTTAGAAAAAAAAACTGTTCTAGCTGAAGATGACTCCAGCCTTGCCAAAATTTATATTTATGTGACCTAGTCCTACAATTCTCACTACTAAATATGAAAAAAGATAACGCATCAAACTATCAATTCCCTTTACAATCTTAAACGCCTCAATCAGATCTCCCTAACTCTTCTTTTATTCAAGAGAAAACAATTTGAGAGATTTTAGCCTCTCCTCATATGACAATCCCTCCATCCCATGCACCATTCTAGTAACCCTTTCCAACAATTCAATGTCTTTCCTAAGATAAGGAGCCCAAGACTGAACACAATATTACAAATGTGGCCTAACGAGTAACATGTACAATGCAATTATAACCTATTTAGAATTGTATTCAATATTTCTGTAGATACAACTTAAAATCCTATTTGGTCTACCACTAGCAACAGCACACTGCTTGGGTGGCTTTAGGGACTGATCGACTATTACACCAAGATCCCTTTCCTTCATAACACTGCTAAGGTTATTCCCATCCAAATTATGATAACCCGCATGCATTATCTTGCATTTATTATAATCAAAACCTATCTACCATTTATTTGTCCAACTCACTAATTATCTAAATAATTTTGTCAATCAGCAGCATCCTATTCACAGCTAGTAACATCCAAAACTTTAATATCATCTGCAAATTTAAATAATTTATTGATTATTCCTTTATCTTTGTCATTGGTTTAAATCAAAAAGAGCAAACTTCCTAAGAATGAGCCCTGAGGTATGCCACTTGTGATATTAATCCAGTTTGACTGAACTTCATTTGTAACAACCCTCTGTTTTCTTTCATCCATCCAATCCATCTTGTTTTTGCTGACTTATTCCCCACACCTATAGAGATAATTTTTTACAAGTCTTTTATGTGGCACCTTGTCAAGTGCTTTCTGAAAATCCAGATAAACCAAATCTACACCATTACCCTCATCTACATAAGCAGTAACCTTCTCAAAGAATGTCAAAAGATTTGTAAGAGAAGATTTTATCTTAGTGAAACCATATTGACTATCCAATAAAATTATAAGTTTGTTAAATGACTTTTGCAAAGCATCTTTTAACAGACTTTCCAAAAAGTTTCCCACAATTAATGTAAGACTAATGGATCTATAATCGCTGAGACAATTTTTATCAGCTCCCTTGAAAAGAGGAGTTACATTAGCTAACTTCCAATCTGGTATCTGCTCACTATTCAAGGACTGAAAATAATAGTAGTAAATGGCTCACATATCCAATCTTTAACCTCCTTCAAAACCCTTGGGGAAATATTATCTTGCCCAGGAGCCTTATTATTTTTTAAACTTCCCAATTTTTTCTTAACCAGCTCAGAATTAATGCCGTCATCCTGTTTGATCTCATTTCCATTTATCAACTGTTCAAGATATGGAATACTACTTAAATCTTCATTAGTAAAAACCGAAGGAAAATCAAAATTTGATAACCCAGCCATCTCATAATCATCAGATACTCGCATTTCTTTATCATCCCTCAAGGGTCCTACCCCCATCCTAACATTCTGTTTACTCTTAATTTACTTAAGGGAATACTTTCTGTTAATTTTTACATTTTCAGCCAACCTTTTCTCATACATCATTTTTGATGTCCTAATTTCCTGTTTCATCAACTTTCTTCATCTTCTATAATCTTCTAAGTCTCCTGTCATACCAGTCAATTTAAATTTCTTAAATTTATGATGCTTTTCTTTAATTTTATCGGTTAAACTCTTTGTGAGCTAATTTGGTTTTATACTTGTAGCTACCCTTTTCTTTATGTAAGAAATATGTTTACCTTTAATATTTAAAAATTTTCCACATCTGATCAGTGTTTCCAAATAACTTAGCTGCCCAATTCACAACAGATACTTCTTGTCACATCCCTTCAAAATTTCCATTTTTGAAATTTGTAACCAAAATATCATTATTTCATATTTCCATATGCAGCAAAACATCGAACCTAATAGAGCAATTGACTAATTGATGAAGAAAGCCACCCTGAGCAGTTTGCAGAAACCTTTCTCCCTCGTGGTTTGGCTCTAGCATTTCCCAATCTATATGCCTGAAGTTAAAATCACCCATAATTCTGACTTCAGTAACAGCTGAAATCTTAATTACATTGTAAAGTTTTTCACTAATTTCATCAGTATCATTTGGTAGTCTGTAACAAATTTCCACTAAAAGCCTCTTCCCTTTATATCCACTAATAGAAACCCAAATGGATTCGATCTTCTTGCTAGTATCTTTGATATCCTCCACTTCAACAGTGTGTAAGCCACTCCTCCCCCAATTAAAAATTCTATCCCTATCAAATAACTTGTAACTCTGTATTTCAAATAAACACCTGTCTTCGAAATCATCTACGTTTAACCATGCTTCAGTTATTCCCATTATAAAAATCCTCACTTCCTACCAGTGCTCTAAAGTCATCTATTATATTTTTTATACTTCTAGCATTACAATAGTACCAATTAAGCCTATCCTTATAACTACTTCTATACTCATTTCCTATGCTAAAGTTTTCTCTGCCTTTTATTCTTTTTGTATTTAATTTTCCTGGCCCTCACTACTGTGTAGTTCCAGCTTAAAACTTCCCTTACAGCTGAGTTAATAGCCGTAGTAAACCTTGCCAGCCCCTATCCTATTTAAATGTGAACCACCCTTTCCAAAAAGTTCCCTTCTACCACTGAACAGACACCACAAGTCCAACCAATCAATATGCTCACCCTTACATACTAGCCTAAAAGCCCGGCATGGCCAGGTGGATAAGGCACTTGACTCGCAATCTGAGGGTCGCGGGTTCGAATCCCCGTCCCACCAAACATGCTCGCCCTTTCAGTCGTGGGGGCGTTATAATGTGACGGTCAATCCCACTATTCGTTGGTAAAAGAGTAGCCCAACAGTTGGCGGTGGGTGGTGATGACTACCTGCCTTCCCTCTAGTCTTACGCTGCTAAATTAGGGACGGCTAGCGCAGATAGCCCTCGTGTAGCTTTGTGCGAAATTCAAAAACAAACTAACCTAAACCTAGTATTTAGCTCTAGTGACCAACCTACAACTCAACCCCACAGTTAATTCTGGGCAGTATCCCAGACAAATTAAGTTATGATCTTTTTTTTAATGCCTTTATCAACCCCTTGTACTGATTAATTAACTAAATGTCAAGTTAAAGCATTTATAAAGCGTTCTTCTTTGGATGTGGCTTTGATTACCTTCTTTGAATCCTAGACCCCCTCCCCACCCTACCATCAGTGATGTCACCACCTAGCCGCCTAACATTTTCTTCTGCCCATATCACCTCATGCTCAACTTCCGGTCTTTGACCTTTCCGATCACCTTGGGAAGTTGCCGACTGATAATACCCGTCCAAGCCAAAACTATTTTTATAAACAAAACAATACTACTGTTAAAATCATTAACAATACTACTGTATTTAACACAAACTTAATTTATTTCGGCTCTTAGCTTTTATCTTAATACAATAACCTGTAATCTAACATCTGTCGAGCGAAGAGAAACTATAGTTTCTGAGTACCCCTGATTGTCTTTCGGGTCTCTTTGAGGCCTTAATGATCTAAAATCAAAATTCCTATCAAGTTATTGTCTGTGTGTGATCCATAGGCGCGGCTTGTTTTAGGCGTTTTAGTATGATACCGATTATGGCTGTCTATTCTGATTTTTTAAGACACCAACTGGGGATTCGGGGCACTGTCAACTAGAATTGAGGTACGAGCCTCGTGTGCAAGCACCTAGCGACGCCTCTGGTACAACGTCTCTTTTATTAGAGAAGTTCCGTATTATGCATAGCTGTTGAGAGGATTTTAAAGTTAGAGAAAATATTGGATTTTCTGTTTTAGTATTGTTTTGGTAGATACCGGAGTTGGGAGGATTTATAGCTTTTACTCCAGTTTTTATAGATATGCCCATATGTCCAAATGTTCATACTTTAAGGTAACGTTTATTTCACCAATATAAATTATAAGAGGCTTAGGTTTATAAATAGACAAGACTGAAAAATGGGCAAATCGGCACGCGATCTTTAATTGTATCGGAAAAATTTTAAGTCTGAAAATAAATTTTAAAATAACTGAGTACGAGGATTTTAACAAATGGGTATATCTTTTAAAACTGGTAGAAAAGTTACAAACCCTTCCAACTCCGCTATCTACCAACACGATACAGAAACAGGGCATAGGATTTCTTTCTCGAGTTTCAAAATCCTCTAAACAGTTAAGCATAATATTGAACTACTAATAAAATAGACGTTGTACGTAAAAAGTCACCGTCTGTAAGTAACACATATTTTTCATTTGAATTAAATCTATTTTAAATTAATTATTTCATTTGCGCCGCATACTTTTCATTTTTTTCTTCTTTTTTTGTATTCAAATTGTTTACGTTTTATTTATTACAGATTATATCATATTTCTGGTGTAATTAACATTTTGTTTGTTTTGTATTTCTAGTTTACTTAAGATGAATTTTTTAAGTTTCCGAAACGTTTAATAAATGCTTCATGTAATTACGTTCGTGTTTTTCTTTATTACAGGTAAACCTCATGTAATTAAAATTTAAATATAAAATATATTAGATAAATTATTTATGAAGAAATGAGAATGTACACTGTTGACTGTAAAAATTAAATGTGTTATTGTCTCGGTAAAACAGAGTAAAAAGTTAAAAACAGGTATAATGTTTTACCTAATAAAAATTAACGGTTATCATACAACGGCCTGTGGGAATACTACCTACCCACCTTTCGCCTGGCACTATGGAGCGCCCTCTGTGGATTTTAAATTAAGGTGCTGGTGATTCGTGAATTTGGAGTATTCTGCAGAGTGGAGTTTAAAAAAGAAGTAGTACGTTTTATTTTCTCGAAAAATCTATAACAGGAGTTAATATTTATCAGCAAGTAAAACTCGTGAGTTTAAAGTAACTTAAAATATTTTTCATTTAACTTGTATCAAAAAATTGCAATTTGCCACTGAAAATTGAGTTAAACTTATGATATAGATTATATATATTATTAAATTATACTTCAATTACTTGTAACTGTAAGTTGTAGTTATAAAAATGTTGCAAGCTACTACAACTAGTACTAAGCACTTAAACTAGCAATAACATTGACAGTGACACCAGTATCGGCAGTAGTACTAGTACTGTTAAGAATTAAAATTAGTATTAATAGTATTAGTAATAGTTGTTAAGCATACACAGTAATGAGTCAGTTTAACATTGTACTACAGTATAGTTATAACAGTGTAACAGTGCACAGATACTTAAACTATAGTTACCATTTTACATTTTAACAACATAAAGATAACAAGAGATCATCATATTATTCAATTAAGACTGTTCCTGCACACCCATCTATGAGAAAATCTAATACAACGTGATCAATAAGGGACCATTTGGTCTTTCAGTTTCAGGGTTGCCCTTGACTATCCACCATTGGAAAAATTAAAAGGTTAAAACTGCCTGTTACTTTTCAAACAATCATTGATTCCTATTCCTAGTTTAAATTGCTGACCACAATGTTCTACAGGGCAATTATTCTGTGAGTCAGTCACCCTGTTAGGAAAATAAAACTGTCTTAATTGGAGCCTACTCTGTGTTTTCCAAATCATAAACTTGTATCTTCTACTCTAGTCCTATATTATCTTAGAAATATAATACCATCAAATCAGAGGTTTTATAATGGACTAAAACAAAACACTGCTACAACCAGGGTTGAACGAAAAACAATGTATTAAACTTTAACAACAGAAATCCAAAATAAAGCTTTCAAACAAGTTGAATACAAGTTTTGTCACTTACAAAAAAAACAAAATTGAGTAAATCCTTGCCTGGCCAGGACTTGATACAAGTGTTAATAAACAATACAACTAAATGTCAATGTTATTAATTTCAATAAGTAAAGGAAGTAGGAAAACAATCAGAAGAAGAAAAAAACCTAATTCTAAAAAAAAAAAAAATGCATTATTCCAAAATTAAACTACTATTAAAGATCAATACCAATATTGAGCAGCAATCAGCAGTAATTTGTTCTAACTATATCTCATGAACTAACTCATTTAAGACTAAGGAATGGTTTTTATTTAATGGTTAGACCATGAAGTTACATCTACCTAATTGATAGAAAGGATAATAAATGAATAGGAAATAAAACAATAACAAAATAAAAATATATTTCTCTATCCCACAGCCTTAATTCTATTGATCCAGCATATAATTCTGTGGACTTCAATAAGATCACCTCTTGTCTTTCTTTTTTTTCAAGATAACAAATGTCTAATTTACCCCATTTTTATATTTCAGGGAATCATTTATTCCACTTTTTAACTTGTGAGGCAACAGCCTTCATTACTGGCCCCCTCAATGGCTCAGAGGTAACTTAATGCTAAAAACTGGGTTTTGAAGCTTGTAGAGAGGTACAGCACAGATAGCCCAATAAGCAAACAAATTTTTGCTTCTGCAACTCATTCACAACACAACATGGAGATGACTAGAGATTATTGGTCCTCAAGGCTGTCCTTGCAGACTCACCTTAGAAAAATAATAGTAATGCAAATCTGTCCCATATTTTTCAGCAAATCAATCTGTTTCTCCTCTTTACCTTTAGTAAAGTTCTGGCCTCCATTACTACCATTGAAAACTTATTTTATAAATGCATTAAATTTTTAGAAAAATAAACCTTTTGAAGCCTAGCTTGACTTGGACAAATCTTAAACTTGTGTCTTCTTGTTTTCAGAATACAGCACAAATAAATTAGAGTTCTTCAGCATTCTCAATACAGCTATAGATACCCAAGAGTTTAATGTCATCAAACAAACTTTACTAAGTTATAACTTTTGTCTCTATCAGTATCATTAATGTAATGAAGAAAAAGACCAAACACTTACATCAGAGATTCTACTTTTCTAACTGAGTCATTTATCTTTGGAATGGGTTGCTTTTAGAGGTGGTTGATGCAATAAATGTAAAGAAGGGCTTCATAAATATCTAAATGATCAGAGCTGGATTTGAATTATTTTTTTTTTAAGTGGATGGGACAGCTATAATGAATAAGCCAATGGCTTTTGAAAGGTTTCTTGATCATTGACTAGTTAAAAGGTCATTACAGTAAGCTAGAAAAGATCACTAATGTCAAACAACCAAAAGTTATTTAATGACATCTCTCCTCCACTAGGGGAGTTGGGAGATTAGCAAAATTTATTTGTTTATTAATCAGTGCATTGACTGGTTACATTCAATTAATTGATTATTATAATATGAGACTTGAATAGTTGGAATAATTGGAAATGCCAATTTCGATTAGATGATTATTTTTGTTAGTTGTGACACTAATTCATAAAGCTGAACAACCTTGAATTAATCAAGAGTAATAATTAGAAATAATAAAGCCAATATTTTTATTACATGGATAGTTGGAATACATGTACAATAATAATCAATTTTGATCAGTTGATTATTTTCTTGACAGTTATTGGTTTAAATGTAATTTCAATTGATAATTTATTTTACATAATAGTAATTAATGTAATTTATGCTCACAGTTAATCAGTTGTATCAATTAATTGAGTTTATAACCCATCTCCCTATGCAATACATTGTTTAGTATTCTCTGAGTGTAAAAAAATCTAGTTGCTTTTGTTCCTTTGTTATTTTCTGTTCTACTCATGGAAGTCTGCTATAATACTGCACCTAGTGCAAGAATTTTGACAGCAGTTACCTTCAGTGATACCTCGGGTGATATCTTGAGGTTATGGCTTCACCTTTGTTCGGATGAGAATAATCATTCGTGTAGGAAATGTAAATATTATGTTTTTTTACAAAGTAAGGAGTGTTGGATTTAAACAGTGTGATACACAGTGGTGAAGAGTAAGCAGTTTTAAGAGAGAATCTACTAAAAGTGACAGTCTGTTGTTCCATAAAAGTATGTACACACACTGTAAAGATTGTTCACTTTGGATTTTACTTTGTATACAGTCTCTTTATTTCATTCATTCTCACACTCCTTTGTTCAAAGATTTAACATTATTCTATATTAAATATTGTTATCGAATCTACTGTTATTTTGCAGACCTATCCCATTTCTTTAAAATTAATTCAGTTTTACCTGGATATACCAGTTGGAGGAAGAAGGACATTTTTGTGTCATAACTACAGTATATCTGCTATTTATGCTGAAGTGTGTGCTGGCCTTTGCTTGAACTTTTGTCCTTTAAATTTAAAAAGGTTTCTTAGTCATAGAAATAGTTTTTTTTTTCCTTAAGTAGAAGGACTTATGACCATGATAGAAAATCAGTCATTGAAGGAAGATTATTGTCAGAGAGAATTGTTAGGTCTAGGAAGTGTCATCTCCTGGATGTTGGAATTTTGTTGATGCTGTGTAGGTCATGGTTTCTATCTTGTTACAGTTCATAACTCAAGAAAAAGGCCACCAATGTCTAATGCAGCCAGAATGGCTGTCCACCATTTTCCCACGAGGATTGATGTCAGTGTGAGGGAGACACAGATTGATGGAGATTGTTGTGATGGTGTGGTGTCTAGTGAGTCAGAGAGTGAGTGGGGAAGTCTGTATAGAATTCCAAGACATGATAACCCAACCACAGCTATAGTCTAGGCCATCAAAGAACATCAGAGAAAGAGAGAACCTGAAGGTGTCATTCTCCCAACAGGAGCTATCTCATCAAAAAGTGAGATTATGGACACTGAAAAGTTTAGTAAATGGATTGTTTAACAGTGAGTCTTTCTGAGCTAGGAGATATATTGTTGAGACAACCATGGGGCCATGAAGAGCCAATGGTGATGGCCAGGAAGTCATGAAGAGGATGTGGCTATAGTCACATTTCTCCATAAGTGAAGCAAAGCAAATCATACCACTGACATTAAATGCTACTACAAAAGAGGATTTGAACCATTTACTGAAGCATTTCAGGTAAATAACTGCAAATAAGTACAATAAAAAAGACTTGTGTAATTCTGGAATAAAATGTGCAATATGTGGTTCTGAGTTTAGAAAGTTCAGCTCTAGACTCTGTTCAACACTTCATTGAAGAACAACTCTGGACTTTGGTACAGTCAGTGGAAAACAAAACAATCCATTGGAATGATTTCAAGGTTCAGAGGAGGGGTACATTGGAATGCTTGACCACTTATGTGAATAATCTGTGTAGTTTGCACAGTAAGGTGTACAGATAATGGCTTCAGTAGATTGCAAGGATGTCTTCATTGACATCCTTATGGAAGAGCTACCCAGTGAAACAATGTAACATCATTTGAGTAACAGAGATCTTCTGACCCTTACTAAGACTAATTTTTGCAATGTTGTAGAAACTGATAACTTCAAACTACTCTTTTGATTCAACCACACTGGGCTATCCTGGTCCTTCCATGTTTCACATGCAATAAACTATTCTGTCAATATTTCCACTAAGGTGTTATCCTGGAATGGAGAAACAAACCATCTGCTTTGTCTGTGGAATGTTGGGTCATCATTAAGAGTGATATTTCCATACATTGCCAAGCAACATTGTTATCAAGGCTATCAGGTTTGTCAAATGGTGCAACTGATGAAGGAGAGTCAACAGTAGCAGGAAACTGGAGGAGCTCAAGTTAGGAATGGCCACCAACCTGTAAGAGTGCAGTGAACAATTTGCACCAAAAAAGTGTGTTGGTCAGCCAAATTTACTCAGGGTTGGATGGATCTTAATATGTACAGTTCAGAGTACAAGAATGAAAGTTCCTAGCTGATACAGGAGCAGCCATAACACTGTGACAACTTGTGGTATATCAGGCAGTCAGACCAAAAAAAAAAAAATCTTGGGCCAGTCAACTCAAATTTTATTCTGATGAATTGAAGCAAACTCAGTGTGAATGTAAAGGTAAATGCTCTAACTATGTTTAGGAGACATTGTT